TTCTCTCAGCTGATTATCTGTGGTAATGTGACACGCCTACGGAGAGCACGCGCTATTCAAACGCAAATATGTGAAGCAACACATTGAGACGCGTTAACGCCCATAAACTCTGAAAACACACATTATTTTTTAGTCAGATTAATCTACTGTCGTCTTGCGCGGCTATATGTGGAACAATCCTGGGACATTTACCACTGGGTTATTTTCACTTCGAGGATGAACAGATTCAGCTGAGAAGTAAGTGTTTTTTGCAAGTGCTTTGTTCTAATCGCGATATAGAATAACGTAGTGTCTGTAAACGGAAAAATAGCATACTGTTAAATGTGAATCATGTTTGTGTCACACAGTTTGTGTGTGTGTGTGTGAATGAATGAATGAACGCACAGATACGCACTGTTACAGACTAAATAACAGACAACATTTCGTTGACTCGTTTTGGATAAAGTTTTTACTCTAAAATAGACATCAAATAAGCTTTTTTAGGAGTTTCTGCTCATATGTTAAATATATAGTATGTTTTGTCAATAAACTAATCAACTAAGATGTTATAGTGTTTGTTCAAGCTATATCAAAATAATGAATCCTCAACTTTGAAATATGTATGATCAAACTAAGACATTTATGGAGAAAGACAATTTTCTTTTCAAGATGTTTCCAACTCTAACTTTGAACTGAAATAAAACCATGTCTATATGGTGAAGGGTGTGTGATAGAAGTGTCCAGACGTATGCACCCTGTATTTTCCTTATAATATCCAAACAATCTAAAAGCCATTCTTTTTTAAATCTCCTCATTCTTTGTGCAAGGCTCCTGTAATGATATGGCCTGATAGCACCTAATAGGGCCATTATGGGAGGGTCTTTGTCTTTCTCAGGTGTGGAATGCCATACATATTAATGAGAGATCAAGCCTCCTGCATAAAGCTTTCTCAAACAAAACACGTCATTAAAAATGTAAAAGACTTTATTGACTTATCTGAATGAGTAGTCAGGATGATTCTCACATAGTTTTGGAGCAAATATTCTAGGCTATGTGATACAATTTTCAAAAGTCTTGTGAAGAAATAATCAATATGTGTTTTGTGGTCTTATTTCAGCAACTTTCATTTTTATTTTTTTCAATAACCACGCATAAACATTATTCTATTAAAAATACAAACATGTACATACATGTTGCTCAGATCTCATGGTAGCCAAGTTTGTGCTATATAGAGTGAATTTACACCTTTGCCATTAACATGTTTATAAATAACTGAAAAAAGCACAAATGTCAGTGCATGTCAAAACATCCCAAGGGCCCCAAAAACACTCTGGTCCCCAGAGGGTTAACCTCTGGAATGAGTTTATCATTACAGATGGGTTAAGGCAAATGAAAAATTTTAAAGAAGCTGATAATTCTGATGAAAAGACAATACAGAACATGGGACAAGCTTTAAGTTGATTGGCCATCAAGCTCTGTCTGGTAGTAATAATTTTGTCATACATAATGTAGATTTGAAGATCAGTTTAAGTAAATTGGAATTGTGTAGTTGTAGATCACCATCTGGCATGGGCTGAGATAAATGAAAATGTTGTAGATTTGAGGGAAACAACAAAGTGACATATTGGCTAAGTCAACATGAAATTATCAAGAGAGCCTCTCACATTTATGATTATTGTGAACAAAGGGGGAGAAATGATTGACTGACATTGACCAAGTCTGTACAGCACGACTTGACCTGATAGGGAGAATTGATGACTTTGGAAAATGTTTGTAGATGACTGACTTGAGAGACCAAACAACAGGCCTGAAAAGCAAGATTCGATGTGAGACTGAGGGCCGTTGCCTTTCAAATACTTCGAGAAGAAGATGAGATTGTGGCTTTAAGTGAAGAATGTAATATTTTTGTTTCAGAGGCAGAGAAATTTGGCTGAAGGACGCCGTTTGGGTTAGTGTTGATGGCAAACTTTATAAAAAACACTATGTTAAATGTTATGTTAAATTGATGCTCGAGTTGTGTCGTGCATCAAGAGGGAGATGGTATAACAATTGCCAAATATGGTTTATTAAGGGATAAATGTTGGGAGAACACTAGGGGTAATTTGATAAAAGCCCTGAAAGAAGCCATTTTTTCTGCCTAACAAAATTGATGTCTGTGAGTGTGCTGCACACACCAATAACAAAGATTGTTTCAACAGGAAACGCCAGGGCATCGAAGGACACGGGAGAACAGTAGACAAAAGAAACTACGTACTTTACTATCTGACAATAACCTCGAAATTTGTTTCTCTTTACAGAGAGCATGCATGATTGGGAGACAGGGCAAAATGTGCCAATAAAATAATAGTTATGGATGAATTTGGCTAACTGTCCTGGCCTGGGTTATTATTGTGGCAGAAAGGTGCTACACCTGCGCAGCGCATAACTTAAAATTTTCCTTTTACAGAATGTCAGGATGGATTGGATCAAACAGAACTAATTCTGTTCCAAATGTATGAATATTGACTTGTTAACGTAAGCAAAGTGGATAGGTGTTTTCAGGGGAAAAGTACTCTGAGTGCTATTAAGTGAGCAAGAAATTATCCGGAGATAATGTTTCAGGTTGTTGATTCCACAGGTCACACCAAAGGGGACGAGCGGCTGTCAAGCGGTCACTAACAAAATACTTAAGGTCTCCATTCACAGGTGACAGGTCACTCCAGTGGGGGTGCGGTCGTGATATAAGGGAAAACCTTATAAGGATCAGAAAATGGTTGGAGAGTGTGACACCTGGGTCCAAGCCTCTCACCTACACCGACAGGCCACAACCATCCCATAGTCCATGGGGCGAACGAGATGATCAACACGCCTGGAGGAGGATGTGAACCAACTAATGGTTTAAGAATGTGGTTTTGTGATTATTTTGAGGATTTGATTTGATTAAATCAAAATAGGGCTTAGTATTGATATACAGTAGATCAAAAGATTTGATTGGTTACTTATTCATTAGGAAATATTTAAGGAAAATGTTTTTGGGAAGAGAAGATCTATTAATTAATGTAAATGGTAGGGATAATTGTTGAAGCTTATTAAGTAGAACCACAGCATGTTTGAATTAAAAGTTAAAGGTAAAAGAACACGGAACATCCGTGGGGCGAACGAGATGATCAACACAACTGATGGTTTAAGTTTAACAGAAGAATCTGTTTTTGTGATGATTTGGTTTGATTGAATCAAACTAGGTATTGATTTGATTGTAAATGTAGAAAATATATTGATTGTGTCCGTAATGGAAATATTAGAGTTAATATTGAACAACTGCATTGGTTAGAAGAATGGATAAAATTATAAGACTTCTCTGGTTAGATTTTGTTAAATATGGCATTAAATAGAGCTTACTAAATTGAATTAGAAGTGAACAAAATATGGTTAGGAAAACCGAGGTGAAATATGGAGATGGGCGTAGATTAATGGAAAAGGCTTAATGATAGGAGTTAGGATTGTTATTCTAATAATTTTGTTATTCATGGGGGAATATGATTACAGTGACAGGTGAAACATGCTGTCTGTTCAATTGATGAAAATGACAGTCTATCCCAAGGATGAACAAAATTATGAGACGATACATGTAGCAGGAGCTACAGTCAGATATGTGTTAAATGTATGTTCTGTTTGTTTTTCTTCTATTTGTTTATTTTCTGAGAAAGATTAAGGGCAAAAGATTTAAAGAGGGTTAAAAGCAGCGGTCATCCGTGTTACGAGATGGCGTACAAAGATAGGGTTTGAAACTGAGTGATTTTTATTATACTTTTATCTGTTTGTTTCCTTACTATGTTATAACTACCTTTTTCCTTACTGGCGTGACTGAGGGTCTGTTTACAGGAGCGCAGGAACAGTGATTTCTCGCTTAGCCCGGCGTCGTAAAAATGTTTACTTGCTAGCTAAAATATTACGGGGCCTTTCCCCCACAAAAACAGCCTTTTGCTTCTTCATTCTAAACTTTTCTTCACAGGTTCAAGGAGAGTGATCATTTATGCGAAAAAATCAGAGATGAAGAGTATAAGTGTGATGATATGACTTAAAATTTGTTTTATTGTTTATTATTGTGATTATGGGTAATCAGAATGATAAAAAGTGAGGAGTTGTAGTGGAAATTTTAATGATATTCATTGATCTTTAGTAAAATATAGATGATTCAAAGAATGTCACATGTGTGTCTCTCACTTGTAGTGAGAGAAGATTCTGTTTATGTACCTGGGGAGGCAGAAGAGGGAGACACTCCAGAGAACAGACGAACAAGGACCTCTGACCTAGATGTCAGAAGGCCATTTTTGGTGCAGGGGGGCTTATTGGGCCAACTAGTGACGTCTATGGAAAACTACTGGGAGGAAGGCTCTGGGGGGAAGAAGGCCTTGAAACTAAGATAAAAGCTAGTTCAGTCTGTCTGGGGGTGTGTCACTCTTCTGCACAGGGTAACAACTGTGTATTAGACTGCTCCTATTCTTGCAAGAATAAATTCTTCTATTTTATATAATTTGACTCTGAGTGTCTCTTACGCAGTGATGTTTGCTTGAGATGAATTTTTGCCACAACAGACATTACTTGATTATTGCAGAAGAGCAAATCATTGAATAGACATTACAAAAAGTGATTTCTGTCAATTATTAGTCAGATATTAGAGATTAAAAAAAAAAGAAAGTTTTTCAGGGTTGGTCTACATTGTGTTTTTAGTATTGCTCATTTCCTCTATTTTTACATTTAGATTAATTTTCCATAATTTATTAATCATTTAATAACATGGTTAAATGTAATCTTTTTACATTAAATGCAAATCTCAACAACAACATCCATTTTTATACATTATAATGTTGGGATTTCTAAATTCACTTACTATCAGCCATAACTAGAAACATGGTTCAACCACACCTACTGTGTCTGTCTTCACTTACTCCACCACAGTATATGGTCTGTCATAAACATAGGTTTGTGTGGTTTTGTTACTATGTGTAAATATTATTATTTTTTAAAGAATATGTTCTTACCGTGACAGTATTCCAACAAAACTACTGGGACTAGTGGAGTGAAGGAGAGGCTTAATGTTGCCTATATCCTCCCAAAACATTTGAAGCTCCACCCCTCTGCTTACACGCAGTATCTGCTGAATCTGAACAGGCCTATAGTGGATACAAGATTAACACCATCATAATATATTCATGTTTGAACTTCAGACCACAATCATCACAATCAAGTTTACCTTTCATGAAGCAGTTGAGAGACAACATGAAACTCAGGGTTTTGTGGTGGAACAACCTCAATGCTGCACCTCAGAGCTCGATACTTTCCCAGAGACGAGGGCGAGGGGCTTCCCAGAGTGGCTTCACTCACATTCAAAATGTCTCTTATCAGCTGAGGACGACAGAAGAGTTTAAAGTACCAGTCTGCACTGTGGAGTTAAAATCCAAATCGAAGAATCTACCAAAATCCCCAAATGTGAAGGAATCTATAACTGTATACTATAATTGCATACGTTACCTGACAAAGATCTAGTTTCTGAGACACAAGCTTGTGTTTGGAAGGAGGGTCGATCATTCTGAGGGGTAGAAGAGTGTTGACCTCCTCTAGCAGGGCCTTGACTTCATCCTCTTTCTGAGTCTTTTGTGCCTGCAGTAACAATCCCTCCACCCTGCTCACCTGCAACAGCACAGAGACATTAAACACACAACATTCCTGTGAGCTTCATGATTGGATGTGGGTGTGTGATTATCTAAGGCTCATTCTCACATCATTAAGGCTGATTCTGGAGACAGGGACTGTCAGGATGTCACTAAGGGAACCGAGAGCTTCGGTCCAAACCAGCTCCACAAAGACGCCAACTTGCTGTGATAATGAGCTGGAGTTCAGCTTCTCCTCCAACAGAAGCTGCAAATCAAAAGATGAACTGATTTTAATCTCATTGGACACGTTATATATGCACATACTGTACAGTATCAACTGAATAAAATAGATCTTCATAGAGATGTTTTTGTCTAACCTGCTGCAGGCTGTAGGACGCCAATCGTTCAACCTCAGGAGGAAGGGTGTGAGTCCTTGTGAATCCCTGTGTCTCCATCTCCTTCATCAGCAGCAGATACGCTTCCACAGCGTCCTCAGACGTCACGCAGTACACAAGCTTGTCCTGCACCACTGCGCTCTACAGTGAGAGAGTGTCAAGACTGTCAAGTGTTCATTACCTCTCTCACAATATATGAGTCCTATGATAACAACATCTAAACAGTTTAAACGGTGTTCGAGATGACCAAACCTCAGCTTCATGCAAGATTGAAGACAACACACGATACTGCTGGCCTTTTCGTCCTCTGGCACTCTGCAGCTCCAAAACAGACAAAGTCTTGGGTTTGACCTGCAACAGGCATGAAAACACCTTCAAACTCAGGCAGTGATGGAGGCTACACTAATCACTTCAGGAATGTGTTAAACTGGTCATCATACATTTATCATTATTTTATACTATTTATCTGTCTGATTTCAGTAAGTTGTAGAAGTTCAGAATGAGTTGTTTTTGCAGGTTAGAGTGAATATAGATTGTGTTTTACATAGTACATGACCTCTTTTAATTCAAAGATCAATGTAAATAACATTTTTCTCACTCACCTGCTCAAAAACTGAATACTTGGCCACTTGAAAATGTGAAGGAAATTCAGGCAGCTCATGGTCGCCGCCTCTGTAAAATCTGCATTGAGTAAATGCAAAGATGCAGTCAGGTAAACTAGCACATCTAAATAAATGATGTGAAAAATGTAGAACAATAAATAAACTTCAATAATTCTCAAGAACTGAAAGTGACAAAAAACAAGAGCATACCTGAACCTGCTAAGACTGGGTCCGCCCTTCTCAAGAGTCCCAATCTCAATCTTTGAGAGTTCAGGCTGATCTTTGAACTCCTCTTTTTGTTGTATCTGGGTCGACACTTTTCCCTCTTTATGGTGAAAAACAACATTATGTCAACAGAGCCGCAAAAATGTATGTTTTAATCTCACTTAATAATCTTATAACCTAAAAACAATGTAAAATAAATTTCAGGAATCTCTTACCTGGACAAGAGATGAATTCAGAGGTGGGATAAGCCAGCTGTGGGGCCAAATCATGCTCCGGCAAAGGCAGGAGATGCCCTTCATCCAGACAGCACCACACATACTGCGTCCCAACCACTGGGATCCGGAGCTTCTGGATGCTGCGCTGCCGGTTACTGCTCAGGTCATTCACACTGCTAGTGACTACAAAAGAGCACTGGAGAAGAGAAAAGCAGGTCAGAAGACACACTGCAGCGCTTTAGTGATTTTAAGTAGAAACATTGCACACTTCTGTGTCACTTATTTTAAGTTGCCATGTTATTGTTGTAGGAACTAACATAAAATTAGCCTATAGAGAGTAGTTCATTTTAACCCGCTGGTACTGGTCGGTCATTTTAGACCGAAAAATTGGCAAGAGTGCAAAATAAACACATTGACTTGAGCGTTTACTAGTTGAGCCAGAAGACTTTACTAAGAGGTTGAAAAATCAGTGCCAGATGGATCAAACATACTGAGATTTTTTACACTTTAATCAAATTTTTATTTTTGAATTAATTATAGGTAAAATACTTTGTTAAAATAATGTTCAGGTTTGACTGACGCACAAACTGACACTTCAATTTAAAAAAAAAAAAAAAAAGCTAAACTTTGACAAGTGCAAAACCTAGCCTAATTAATGTAAGTAATTATGTCTGAAAACCCTGTTCAAAGAAAGGGAATTGCACAGGCCTGTGTATTTATTTATATATGGGACATGCTACAGAATTGGTGCAAACTGCTGTCCGACAACCAAAAAACACATTTAAAAAGCATTTAAGTATTCAAATTTTAGATGTTAACTAAGATCCTTCTATTATCTATTGAATCCCACAATAATATTTAAAATATAAGTAAGCTTAATATATATAAAATCATCATTTATTGTGTACTTTCAATTGGGAGGTGGCTGTCCCGAACCCCAACATTTCAACTTGTGAAAATGATATTGAAATATTATTTTTATTTCCATTGTTGTTTTTAAAATATCTTTTTGATTTCTTTTAAAAAGTAAAAAAATTTTTTTTAAACATATTTTATATTTTAAATCATGAAACTTTATGTAAAAAAATGTGTCCCGCATTTTCATGTCACTACCGAAACAGTGTGTGTTTTATTTAGTCCATTGGCTGAGACTGATTTTAACCACACCCCTACATTTTTGATTAGGAAATATTCTTGTGTGCCTCTCTCTCATAGCCTCTCTTTCATTATAGTTAGGTATCATCATTTTGAGGGAAATGTGTTCAAAAGTCTGAAAATCTGTGTGTAACTTTAAGGGACGTCACTACCAAACACCTTTTTCTGCAATTAAGCAAACTTTTTTGGGTGTAATTCCATAAAAATTCGTTTTTATGTGTATACAACTGTTCAGAACTGTGCTAGGTAACCATGTGCAGGCTATCATCTTTGAACTAGGCTCAAAAGTATCTTAAATTGTCACTACCGAAACATGTGGTGAAGTTTCGGTTGTGACATCATGGTTTTTAGTCTTATTCGATAAAATTTAGTTTTTGTGTGTGTACAACTGTTCAGAACTGTGCTAGGTAACCATGTGCTCGTTATCATCTTTGAACTAGGCTCAAACGTATCTTAAATGGTCACTACCGAAACAGTCATGACCGAAACATGCCATCATTGTTTTGGTAGTGACAAAAGGGAACACATAATCATTTGATTATGTTGATAGTTCCAAATGTCACGAGGATAGCAGAAGAACCCAAGCGCAGACGGTTTGCAAACACACAACGTTTATTATAACAGAAAACGGAGAAAACAAAACCCACGAGGGGGCAAAACCGTACAAGATAAAGTAAACGACTGACCACACTAGACTAAGACTTGACATAAAACTAAACAGGAACAAGACAGGCTTTCACAAGATTGCAACTCTTAGACAAAACACTCGACAAGGTACTCACTGGGTATAGACATGGCACGTAAGGCAATGAACCGGCCCAGGACAGCAAACACAAGGAGATTAAAAAGGGAGACACTAATGACCAAGACAGGTGAAGCTGACAAGACAAGGACAGGTGAAACTGACTAGACACTAATGACGAGACGAGGATAACAAGGGGGGCGGAGTGACATGACGAGACAACACAAGCACATGGCTCAAAAGACAAGACCATGTGCTTGCACACAAAACATGGGTCTGTCATGATCCTGCCTCAAGACTAGAGAAATGAAATGACAGGAGGGCAGAATCATGACAGAACCCCCACCTTAAGGAGCGGCTACCAGACGCTCCAAAAGAGGACATCAAACACGAGACATGACAGACTGGGAAACAGACACAAACCAACAAAACATGACAAATAAAAGCAACGGCATACAAGAATATACAATAAAGGGGTTGGGATGCATCAATAAAAATAACAAACAAGGGAGGGGGGGCGGGGGAACAAGAAAGTTCATAGGTGGTAGACCAGCGTGGGTGGGAGGGCTGGGGGTCTTAGGTCCACGGGATGGGGGCTTGGGACGAGGATTCCGGGCAGGTTTGGGTCGGGACACATGAGGAGTCTTGGAGGAAACAGTCCGGGGTTGATTAGGGACAGGAGGAACGGAGGACGACGGAGAGGAAATCACGACAGGGAAAGCTAAGGGTGGCGAGACAAGACTTCTGACTGGGGAAACAGCGGGAAAAGGAACAGGACACAGAACAGGGGACGTAGCAGACGGCTGTGGAGCGGGAACAGAATTCACCGAATCAGACTCGGTACACATGAACACAGACTCGGATGAAGCGCTCAAATCTGACTCGGAAGAAGCGCTGTCTGCAGCGGGCTCTGTGACTGCAGCGGGCTCTGGCTCTGTGACTGCAGCGGGCGCTGGCTCTGTGACTGCAGCGGGCGCTGGCTCTGTGACTGCAGCGGGCGCTGGCTCTGTGACTGCAGCGGGCGCTGGCTCTGTGACTGCAGCGGGCGCTGGCTCTGTGACTGCAGCGGGCGCTGGCTCTGTGACTGCAGCGGGCGCTGGCTCTGTGACTGCAGCGGGCGCTGGCTCTGTGACTGCAGCGGGCGCTGGCTCTGTGACTGCAGCGGGCGCGGGCTCTGTGACTGCAGCGGGCGCGGGCTCTGTGACTGCAGCAGGCGAAGAACGGGAGGCTCCCCTCTTCCTCCTCTTTCTCCTAGGTCGAGAAGCAGCGACCATCGCCGGAGCTGAGACGGGTTGGGTAAACACGGCGGGAACTGTGTCGTGCGAAGGAGGGGTTATCCCTGGCACGATAGACTCCGACGCTGAGGACTCAGAAGGAGAGTCCCACGAGGTTCGCCTCCCTCGTTTCCCTCGAAGACCGAAGGGGGTAGACGGAGTGCCGGGAGTCGTGGGGGAACCAGCCTGGTCCCCAAGCGTCGCAACGCCTATCCGGAGACCCTCAGGGATAACCGGCAGTCGAGCAGAAGGTGAAGACGATGACTCCTCCCGACCACCGCCTCCACTGCGGCCACCACGGGTTCCACGAAACTTGACCAGACGGGTTCCCTCAAACGAACGTCCTGACATTCTCTTGTTGAGGAGGGAGGACAACCAGACTTCTTCAAGGGGGTCCGGACGATGCTTGGCAGAGAAGGACAAACGGTCTGCTGGGTTCGGTCTTGGCCGGTTCATTCTGTCACGAGGATAGCAGAAGAACCCAAGCGCAGACGGTTTGCAAACACACAACGTTTATTATAACAGAAAACGGAGAAAACAAAACCCACGAGGGGGCAAAACAGTACAAGATAAAGTAAACGACTGACCACACTAGACTAAGACTTGACATAAAACTAAACAGGAACAAGACAGGCTTTCACAAGATTGCAACTCTTAGACAAAACATTTGACAAGGTACTCACTGGGTATAGACATGGCACGTAAGGCAATGAACCGGCCCAGGACAGCAAACACAAGGAGATTAAAAAGGGAGACACTAATGACCAAGACAGGTGAAGCTGACAAGACAAGGACAGGTGAAACTGACTAGACACTAATGACGAGACGAGGATAACAAGGGGGGCGGAGTGACATGACAAGACAACACAAGCACATGGCTCAAAAGACAAGACCATGTGCTTGCACACAAAACATGGGTCTGTCATGATCCTGCCTCAAGACTAGAGAAATGAAATGACAGGAGGGCAGAATCATGACACCAAAGGCATAAATAACTCACTATGGAAGCATTTAAACAATTTGACTAACAAATCAAATAAACATAAAAAGATCACAGAAATTAATATCAATGGCAATAGTATAAGCGATCGTGCCACTATGGCTAATGAATTCAATTCCTGTTTTGTACAGTCAGTTGAACAATTATCAAAAGATTTCCAGCCCGTTAATCCTTTTAATCTTTCATTGAGAGACACCTCAATCGATTCATTTTATATTAAAGAGGTGTCGGAAGCAAAAGTTGCAGATATAATTAATAAACTTTCAAATTCCAAGTCAAATGACATTTTTATGATGAATAGTTGTTTTCTTAAAAATTATAAAGATGTTCTTGTCAAACCATTGACCCATCTCATTAATCTCTCCATAAGAACCAGCACATTTCCCAGTGCATGGAAGAAAGGAATAATTATCCCTGTGTTTAAAGGTGGTAGCCAAAACTCTATGAGCAACTATCGCCCTATATCGATTTTACCAGTTTTATCAAAAATAATTGAAAAAGTAGTAGTAGTGCAACTGGTGGACCATTTAGAAGCCAGACAGCTCCTCCATTGTCACCAGTTTGGGTTTAGACCAGGTTACTCGACAGAAATAGCAAACTGCTGTTTAATTGAAAATGTAAAAAAGTCCCTAGACAAAGGTAATGTGGTAGGAGCCATATTTATCGACCTTACAAAAGCATTCGATATGGTCAATCATAGTTTGCTTTTATCCAAAATGTTAAATTTAAATTTTTCAAATGAGGCAGTGTTGTGGTTTACATCTTATCTCCACTCTAGAGTGCAGTGTGTTAAAGTTGATCAAAAGGTATCTGCACTTTCAAACATAAAAATGGGCATTCCACAGGGCTCTATACTTGGCACTTTGCTGTTTAGTCTCTTTATAAATGACTTACCTCTGCACTGCTCAGGTGCCAGTTGTCAGCTTTATGCGGATGATGCAGTTCTTTATGTACCCGCCAAGTCACCTGAGCAGGCTGCAGCTGTACTGTCCACTAGTATGTCTGACATTCAACAGTGGCTCATTCAAAATCAGTTAGTTTTAAATTTCTCAAAAACAGTTTCCATGTGCTTTTCCATTAAAAAAATAGATATAAAAGGAAGATTTAATATTAAAGCTGCAGTCTGTAGCTTTTCCTCTTTGTCGCCATCTCTCTGTTCGAAATCTGTAACTGCAGTGATTCGCGGAATTATCATCTTTACGTGGGTTGTAAATCGGCATGAAACAGCGCGGATGAACACAGTGCTTTGAGGCGAGTGCTGCTGTCAGTCACCGCGCTGTGTGGATACTGTCATACAGAATCACAGATTCACTTTTTGAAAATTTGACCAACATAAGAATTTTCATAAGAAAATGTCTTCTGAACAAGTAAGTAACATCCATTTTTGTTCTGACCAACTAAGGGGGGAAAGCATTCGACATGATAAGCTTCGTTAGATTTAATCAACGCGATTTACAGCAACCGTGCAAATTATAGCCTACTTTGTTCTCAAATTGTTCATGTTAACAACATCAGCATCGCGTGACTAATGTTAAATTTAATGTGTTTTATGGTTACCTGCTGTGTAGTTAAGAATTCATATTCTCCATAATAGCAAAACGATTAAGGCACAACAAAGGAAACTCCATAACTGTGTGAATTAAGAAAACGTACTGTTACACGATTGAACTATTGAAATGTCTTACTTGTTCAGCAGAAAAAAGCCGTCTCTTCTTCCGTTTTGAACCCCTTCAAAACACGGAGTTCACGCACTTTTCAAAAGCCCCGCCGATGTTTAAATCCTTGTGTTCGCATGAGACGGTTTCTTTCTCTTTCTCTAGCCACCTTAAATCCGAAGTACGAAGTCTTTTGGGTTTTATAACTGCTGAATCTCCAGTTGACACTGATGATTGTTGTTTGGATCTTTCTGGATGCCATAAGTTTAATTATGTAAAGTGCTGCGAGAAAAGTCTATACATCTAAACATCTCGTCACGCGCAGTATAGCCGGCTAGCCGAAACTCCTTCTTTATGTGTACGGGTGTGACGTAATGACGCAAAGACATGCTCGAATTTCCCGCGGAAACCCACCAGTACCACTGGAATTAAAATCATTATTACAAGCTAACCGTTTTGAATCTAGCTATGGCAAGCAGATAGTTTTGACCACTGGCAAAATATGTTTTTTTTAATATAATTATTTTGGATTATTTTCAACTTAAAAAAGTTACGGACAGCAGCTTTAAGTTACAAAATAAAGAAATTCATCCAGTTACAGAATTTAAATATTTAGGATTAGTTTTAGATCCTCAACTTAAATTTGAAAAACATATAAAGAAAATCCTAAAAACATTACAAAGTAATCTCAATTGTTTTAAACTAATTAGAAGCTACATACCAAGTCAGGCAGCCCTGCTGTACATGCATGCTATGAAATTTTCTCATATATCATATTGCATGACAACATGGGCACAAGCCGCTCCCACTGCAATCAAACGCATAGGTTCTTTATATAATCGAGCAATACAACTTTTGGATAAAAAAAACATTACGTTATCATCATTGCAGCATCTTTAAGAAATATAATTTAATGAATTTTGATAGCTTTAGTAGCTTTTCCTTTCTTAAACTAATTTATAAGTGCATTAATCATTTAGCACCTGAGCCACTAAGTACATTTATTGAGAGACAGGACAACATCCGAGTCACTAGGAGCTCCACAAATCATGACTGTAAAATTACATACTGCAGGACCAGCTTTGGACAGACGGCCTTCTCTGTGAAGAGTTCTAAACTCTGGAACTCATTACCTTTTGAAATCAAGACTGTGCCTGACTTTAAGATGTTCACTTCCAGGCTTAAAAACTGGTTAAAAATAAACCAAAAGTGTACTCATTTTTAATTATTATAAAAGTTGTATATGATATGTATGTATGTTTATATTATTATTATTATTTTTATTTTTTTATTGAAGTAGTTAATCATGTAAATTTTATTATGTATAAAAGCCCTTCCAGGGACAGGAGTTGAAAATTAGCAATAGCTATAAACTTTATATGCAACACTTCAGTGACATGCTTGGTTTTGACACTATGTTTGTTTGCATTGTCCTTGTCAAATAAAAAAAGAAAAAATTATTTGGGGGAAATAAACAAAATTTGTACAGTTATGCAAATCATTAGTATCTTAGTATGTTTTAGTAGTGTTTTAGTATGCAAGTTAAATTTCTGTAATGTGATGTGGTCGCTACCAAAACATTACTGCCACTACCGAAAATGTGCCGTCACTCACGACCGAAACATGGATGTTTTGTCTAAAATAAAGTATACTGAATTATCAACTAAGATGTTATTATAGTGTTTGGTTCAATGTATATTCAAACTAATGATTCCTTAACTTTGAAATCAGTATGATTAACTTAATGCCTTTTACAAAGAAAGATTGGGTTCAAAATACAACAAATCTTATAAATTACACTTGAAATATTGTTAAAATTGTAATTGTTATTGATTTACCTGTGAAAACTTTTTTTTTTTAAATAGCAAAAAATATATTTACAAGGTACAAAATATTAATAGGCCAATATACAACTTCTTATTAAATGATTTATTATTGTGTTTCGGTAGTAACAAATTTAGGGAGAGGAAAAATATTCCAAAACTTTCTGAAAATACAATATGAAATGTGTACCCTTGGATATTATACAATTTGCATACATACAAAATTTGTGGAAAAAGACACCTTTTTTTCAAGCCGTTTCCAAATCTGACTTCTGTAGAATGGCCCATATAGGGCTATACAGGAATCAAGTGGTTAAACCATATTTCTCTATTTATTTCCACCACACGGCACCAATCTAGATTTTCAATGTCGTTTTTAACTTCAACGTTAACAGTACAAGAGGGATGAACAAATCAAACTGTAAATTGTGTAAAAAAACAAACTCTAAATCTACATTTGTGTAAACAAATTCGCAGTAGCCTAACAGTTTTGACGACAGAAAAAATATGGTTTAGTTAGAAAGAGTATAAAAATGAGCAGAACCTCTTTGTTGATGACATAAGATATGTTTCCTCCATTTTCCAGAAGAGCTGATTTCAGATTCTTCTTCTCTTTATAAGGGACATTCTTCACATCTAACACTACAGTACAGTTTTCAAACACTGTCATGATGCCACTGAACATGCCAAGAAAAACGACAGAAGATAAACAAAGAAAATATATCAATCAATCAGATATAAAACAAGTGAATAGATGGTTCTCTTGAAGTAATTAAACATTCAGGCAAAAATCCAAATCGTATCGTGTCGCAGTATGAGATACAATGTCACGTCATTAGAAGACGGAAGAGCATATCTTACCGTGGAGAAGTTTATACCCTATTTTAAGAAAATACAATTGAAGAAGACGTAAACAATCTGCATGTGAAGTTCGTTATATTACTTCCTGACTCGTACAGTATGTCACCCCCCTACAAATAAATTAGACGGGCTCCATGGCTCCATCCAGTGGTCGAAACTCAGCGCCGTGTAGGCTACAGCAGACAGTAAAAGGCTACAGCGTGTAGCTAAGCGGAGTGTGTGCGCGCGCACGCGTGTGAGAGTGACTGCAGGTGTATCGGTGTAATATGTTTAAGTAAACATTCATATATTCAAGTGTTGCCAGGCACCTCGTAGCTCTTTTTCATCACTTGTGTTTTCCTGCCTTAGAACTGATAAATAAACCTAATTAAAATAAAAAGGCACAATGTCGTCAAAAATACCATTTGAGGAGGGATTTCTATTAAAGTACAGATTAATTTATAGAATATTATTCATTAAATCGGGTGACAAGACAAAGTCTATTTTTTTTAACATTGTAAGAGTAGAATAAAAAGTCAAGAATCCCTAGAACAGCATTTGATTGAGTTCTTGCCACAGCAGTTACTTTGACAGCCTTTTTCACTGAATGAGACATTATTTTACTGACGGATAAAAATAGGCAGAGCTAAACAGAAAAATTACAACCCAATAAGATTTTTTTTGCTCAATTATTTGACATATATTTGAAATTACCTACATTTTTTAATAAATGCAGAGGGCTAATTATAAGTGGCTTGACGAGTAATTTCCAAGGAATAAATATATTATTCTTCTAATAATCATCCCATGATTTTATGCCGTTTTAACTTGTGTAAAAAAAATAAGTTAATCCAGAGAAAGTCCATTAGTAGGATGGATTATTATTACACAGAACAGGAGGCAACAGCTTTTCTGTGACTGTGTGAGCAGGTCCTTGAGGCACCAACGTGTACGGTAACAAACAATATATTTATTTAAATTTACTTAAAAGAAAGACAGCACAAGCACATGTATCAACAAAACATTTGACAAATAGAATTGTTTCCTTTTAAATGATAAATCAACATACTGCTTAATAATCATAGATAATGTGATGACCTACATTAGTGGTTGCTCTGCTAGGACATCAGTGAACTTGAGGAGAAATGACTTAATACATCCACTAAAAATCAAACACTACTACACTTGATTAAAAGTACCTGGAAAAAGTAAAAAAAAAAAAAAAGGCTTACAAAACCTTGATACTTTAGAATACAATGAAATTCAGACATTTTACATCAATATTTTGAGTTAATCTTATAGTTCAAAACAGTCTAAATATATTGTTAAGGCCACTTAAAGGCTAGAAAGATTTTTTTGCAACAAGCAAGCAGCAAGTAAAGCAGCAACTGTAAATGAAGGGGGAAGTGTGTGTCCAGTTCCTACATGACTGATACACACGCACGTCTCTCCAGAACAGGTTTGAGAGGGGAATATGGGTGTGGAGAATCACAGCCCAGCAGCTGACGTGTAGATGATTCCCAATCCCGGCCGATCTCCAGCCTGCTGCACACACACGGATACTGTCTGTCTGTCCGACAGGCCCAGTCCACGGCCCTCTTCACTGCCTCCCAGTGCATCGGTCTGAATGGAGAAGAGCACAAAGTTATGGATCAAATACACAAGAGTGAATCACTATGAGTGAGGACGTGTGCTCGTACCTGGGCTCCTGAGACTCTTTCAGCCGGAGGAGAGACTCCAGCAACTGTCCCACTGCCAGCTTCTTCACCCGGATCAGCTGCAGCACCAGCAGAGTCGCCACCAGTCTCAGAATTTCAGCATGAGCCTTCACACCTGACAGACAAAACATGTGACTGATTAACTGATTCTGACAGGCAAACTGTGTCTAAAAAATGAAGAAGATTTGATTTCAAAAGTCTTATACCAAAGGAACGGATGCCTTTCTCCTGAAGGAAGACATTGGCAAAAAAGTCTACGTCCAGGTTGAGGAAGCTGCTCAGTCTCTCAGTGCACTCCCAGTATCCATCCTATATCCAAACACAATACATAAGTTCATATTCCCTTGACTTACACATTTACATACTGTATATAATCTAGTGCATTAAATCATGTGTAAAAACCTCATGTTGAAGCTCAAACAGCTCCTTCCAGGCAACGGTGTCAGGCTTGCTTGTTTTATCTGCCGTGACCGACAGATTCAAGATGTCATGAGGTTTTGTGAAATGTTGAGTCCTTAGTTGAAAACGAGGAGCAGCCCTTTTTGTTGCTTCCAACTTACATTGTGCAGATGTCAGAGTGTCTTGTGGCCGTAGTAGTTTTTGCCGTTCTAGTTGTTGCGCTTTTGGTTGCATTAGTTGTGTCTGTTTTTGATGAGATGCTTCATAAAGTCCAGAGGATGAGGAACCAAGAAAGCCCAAAGGCTCATTCGTACTTTGAAGGAAACAACCAAAGCCACTAGATGCAGGGAGAGAGGGCGGCGTAGACACTGTGGGATAACCAAAGACAGCGGGGCCAGCCGCCTTGCCACAAAAAGATGCATCCACCCTGCGAAAAAAAGCAGGAGCAAAACTAGGAGTGGGAGACAAGTCCTGCTTAGATGCAAGACGAGGAGGAAAAGGAGGACCGTCAAAGAGAGGAGGAGTTGAGGCGTCACGCTGGATCTCTGAGAGACAGCGAAGGGCAGGGAATTCCATCGTTGAAAAAGATGCGCTCGGCCTGCCAAAAAGAGGAGCAGGAGGAGTGGGGCTGGAAGACAAGAACAGATTAGAAGCAAGACTAGGATTTGGAGGAGGACCTGCAAAGAGAGGAGGAGTTGAGGCGTCACGCTGGATCTCTGAGAGACAGCGAAGGGCAGGGAATTCCATCGTTGAAAAAGATGCGCTCGGCCTGCCAAAAAGAGGAGCAGGAGGAGTGGGGATGGAAGACAAGAACAGATTAGAAGCAAGACTAGGATTTGGAGGAGGACCTGCAAAGAGAGGAGGAGTTGAGCCTTCAAGCCCAAGCGCTAGGCGAAGGCCATGGGCATAAGTTTCAAAGAGGAGAGAGTCCGCTGATGCAGAAATATGAAGGGGAGGAGGCACTGAGGAGGCACCCTTGGAGGCGGGGGGAGGGGGAGTTGGAGGGGGAAGCCTGTCACTCCGGGCACCACCAGAAGGACGAGGAGAAATCCAGTGAGCGTTGGAGCGAGGTTCCATTGACCTTTTAAGAAGGACATGACGAATGTGATGAGGAAGGGGAGCATCCATTGAGGCATCTATAGGACTCACGTCTGTCTGTGATGCAAGGTTATAATTTGAGGAGAGAGATTCTACTGAATCATAGTAACAGGGAACTTGAAGGTTAAGAGGCATTGAGGCTGCAGTGGGAGGAGGAAGTCTGTCACTCATGGAGACACCACCAGTAGGTTCCACTGACTCAAGAAGAACATGGCCAACAGGACTGGGAGCATCCATTAAGGCACTAATCTTAGCGGCAGGGGGAGGGGGGGGTTGAGGCTTTGAATAACTTACATCAGAACTAGAAGAACGGCTACATAATCTTTCTGAATCTAATCTGAAACCGTGAATGCTACCTTCAAAACGTGAAGGACGCCAGCTGCTACTGGAGCAAAGACGAGGGAGAGCTGCAGATGCTTCCATTATAAAATCCTCAATAGGATCCTCATAGTCATCCTCTGAATCATTTTCATCATCATCAAATGCAAATTTACGAGCTGAACTGTGCAGAATAAGAGATGTGGAGCCGCTACTGCGCCATTCCTCTGAATCCATCTAAAAATAAATAAATAAATAAATAAAAATGATTGGTGTGAATACTGAAGATCTGAATACTGAATGATGCCAGCTTAGATACTACATTAAGTGACAACAGCTGTAATTGACCATTTTGTTGTTACCCTAACATCATCAGCACAAATAATGTGCTCAACCATGAGCTTCTCTTCAGTCCAGCCCATATATGGCAAAATATCCACATCCTCTTCTGATATGAGTTTAGGAATATCTGTCAATCCAGCGTCAGGCTCATTCTGGTCCTACAAAGAGCAAATGAGGTCACAAAAGTCATTTTAGTTTAACTTTCATATATCACACTTTAGCAAAAATTGTTATTTACTTATATCAGAGAATTTTTGGTATATTTTCATTATCAATATTTGGTATATTTTCATTATATAGCATCTGCAATAAATTTTGCCGCTGGGCCATTTAGTGTCCCAAGTCTGAAAATGCGATTCACAATGTGCACAGATGGTCACCTTTTATTTTTATTACAACATTTTTAACTAATGATTATAATAGGCAAGTATAAGGAAAAGCTGCCTAAAAACACATGCAAGAAACTAATAATTTGAATAGCTACACGATTAGACATTAAAGGCATAAATGCTTGAGAAAATTGTATTATTTAAAATTGTCTATGAATTAAGAAAAGGTAGAAGATGTTACTTAGGTACTATATGTTATTTTACATTTGTTTGGTCACCCTTTTACTCTGTAATGGTTTGCTCTGTTTTACTATTGAACAGTCTTTACGAATAGGTGTTTTACGAAATTCAAATTTACGAATAGGTGGTAATACACTATTCGTAAAGGCGTTTCAATAGTAAAACAGAGCAAACCATTACAGAGTAAAAAGGGTGACCAAACAAATTTAAGATAGAAAGAAAGAGCAACATAGTTTTTGACTTTTTTGTTTGTTTCTCTTGATCTTGAAACTGAAACTTGAACAAAAGACACAATTCTTTGCACTAAAGAACAACGAAAGATTATTGCTGTTGTTACAGATAAATTAGATTTAAGTTTTTTAATGAATTTTTAATATTATATAATTTAAAAAAGCCATATATTGTTACTAT